CCATGCTCCTGTTGGGGGCTAAGAACACGCTTATCTCCCTGAGCCTGGCCTTCATAAGTCCATTCCATCACAGGTAATTATCCTGCAAGTCAATCCTTTGACCTTCCACTGCTAATCTCGACTTTTTGGGGGGCACGTGGTATTAATTCTTGGTGTTTCGTAGGGCCAATGTATTCCTATCACATCAACAAAATATAAGGATAACTTCGATGTGAACCCTATGCACTCAACAAAGAGCCAGAGAGAAGTGCCGCTGAGGCTGCTGCCGTTGCATCAACCACTTCTGACTTTGGGCCGGTGGGGTGTGCCCTGAGGTCACCAGGGGCTCTCTCCTGATGGTACCATCCATGGCATTCCTTGGTCCAAAGGCAACCTGGGAAGAGGCCAGCCACCCCTCTCTTCCCCAAGAAGGGCAAATTCCCAAGGACCTCAAGCAATCCTCAGCTGCCCATCGAGACCAAGTGCTGAGTTTAGAGGTTCTTATTCTGCATAGATGTGCAAGAGTGCTAATCCCATCTATCCTTTTCAGGAATTAGCTCTCAAGCCAGAGAGACTACAAGACTCTACTTAAGAGGAAGGGCATCAAGCTTCTGACAGCAGCTCGCCACAAGGAAGGCAAGACTGACTGGGCTGGTCCACACGGGCTGGTGCATGGCAAGGAAAAAGTGGCTAGTTACAGAATCTTGGAAGCCAACTCTGGGTCCCTTGGCCCTCATTTCTCTGGGTGGCCTTTGATCTAGGATGCTATTCACTTATTTGATACTACAAAAATGTTCTTGTTCTGCAATATTTTGGAAACATTAACTTTCTTTCTTAGGCTCAGTAGGAAAAGTTAACCTGCTCTTTTGTCCTGAGAAATCACTTCTCATTGCATTTCCAGGGATCTCTCTCTCCCACCTAGAGACACCGGAGTGAGGTGGCTGATCTGGCATGGTGGGCAGTGGCTCTCTGAAATGTTCAGGTCTGGCCACTCTCAAGCATGCTTGGTTTCAACAGCCTTCCTGACCCTGGAAAAACATTCTGGAGCAGGGCACGTTTTTGCACTCCTAACCCAAATTAGGTTGAACTCTTCTTGAGGGGTCTCTGAGCCAAAGAGGTTTCCAGGCGGGAACTGAACCAGCCCCCCCGGTCCTTCCTCCCCCCACGGGCGGGCTTCAGCCGGTGACAGGAGCTCCTGCCCTTGAAGGTGGGAGGGGAAGCTGCTGCAGCCTGGGAATGACGGCTGTGGGGAGGCGAGCAGGGGGTGGCAAGAGACCCTCGAAGTGGCCCGGAGAGCTCCTGTTCCAAGCCCTGGAAAGCTACCCAACCTCCCTGCCCCTCCTCACAGACTCTGTTGTGGAAAGGAAAAAAGCCGCTTGAGGTGGAAAGGGACTGTGCGTCCAGCCCCCAGCCCAGGGCAGGAGCCACATACCATCCCAGACAAATGGCTGACCAATCTTTTCTTGAAAAGTCTCCAGTGATGGAGCACCAGGAGGAGGCTCTTTCACTGCTTGACAGTGCTCACAATCAGGAAATTTCATTTCAAGCTTGGCTCACCTGTAAAGCTTCCATCCTTGTTGTCTTACCCTCAGGTTCCATGGAGAATAAACCTATCCTTCTTCCCTGGGACATCCCTTCATGTACTGGAAGATTGCTCTTGTGTCTTCCCTTACCCTCCCTTCTTTAGGCTAAACAGACGGTTCCTTTAATCATTCTTCATAGGGCTTAACCTCTAAGCCCCTCACCGTCTCTGTCACTCTTCTCTACACTCTTTCCAGTTCCTCAGCATCCTTTTTATACTGTGGCAACCAGAATTGGGCACAGTATTCCAGGTGCAGTCTGACCAGAACTATCACTTCCCATGGTCTTGACACCACACCGCTGTCGATGCAGCCCCAAACTGAGCTGGCTCTTTTGAAATGGAAGCAGGAATGGGGAAACACGAGAGTCACAAAATTTTGTTTGGGAAGCAGGACAACTGCCTAGTAAAGCCTTGTGGCTACCTGGGTCCTTAAAGGGAAAGGGGGGCACACACATCAGAGGCCAAGGGACTGAGAGAGAAGGCAGCTGGGACTCCCTCCTGAGACAGGCGTCTTGGGCAGGAAGGCCATCACTTACGCAGGGTTGTTGCACTGCCGCTCTGCATTCTGCACTCCAGCCCCGCAGGTCCGGGAACACGCTGTCCAAGAGCTCCAGGCTGCCCAGCCTCCATGGACAGACTCCGGGCGGTACCCAACACTCACGCACTCTCCGTTAAAGCACCACTGTGGAGAAACAAGCAGAGGCCTCTCAGGTGGACTCAGGGGTGTGGGAGGCTCCCTGAAGGGGCAGGCAAATTTCCAGCTCATCCCTAGTTGAAGTCTCATTCCGTCCAAGGGACCTTATCAAAGACTACAGGCTAAGGACTAAAAATGGCTGTTGGGGACCACCCCGTTGCTTTCATGGTCCTCTTGGCTCTGTCTCTTGTGTTAATGACCAGTTGGTGCTTGCAGAGGTCTGAGCCAAGCACATGCGAAGAGCTTTTGAAACTGGGCCAAGAACCACAGGATAGCTGAAGTCTTTGAGCTGGGCTCAGAAACAAGCTGAAAACCAAAAGAGAGGGTGATGTGGCGTGTTCCAATGTTTGGACTCGTAAGAAGTTTCTGACTAGCTGAAGTTTCCAGAGCATCTTCTCAGGCAGCTAAAAAGATGGTGCTTTGCAAGACACCAAATGCACACTTTCTGGGGTGTGAGTAAGTGTTAGCTGGGCCTCCCATCCAGAGAGTCTCTGGTGGCCAGCAGCTGAAGCCAGCAAGGCAGTCTCTGCCTCCAGATAAGGCAGGGCGGGCTCCAAGACAGCGAGCAGGCTGCAGAAAATACCGATGGGGGAGCAAAGTGCCCATGTTGCCTCCTGCAACTGGCCCCCTGGCAGGAGCAGAACCACTTGAGCCAGGCAGCCCACCCAGAAGGGGGCATCAGCCAGGACCCTCACGCGGCCAAGAGAACTACTGCTCTGCCGCTCTCTCTCTTTCACCAACTCCCAAGCAGGCAACCCACCCACCTGTGAAAAGGGCTCAAGAAAACTAGTTGCATTCAAGAATGCCTGGAGTTGATAGTGGCCACCCCTGGTGAACACCACATCCAGGGAGAGAAAGCTGTAGCTGCCTTTTAAAAGAAGGTGATGCTCCTCCCTCACTGGACATCAGACACAATTAGCCCACCAGACACCTTCTCCCTGTGCCCAGCCAGCGCGCAACGATCAAGGGAATGGCGCGAATTCTGGAGTCAGGGCTGCTTTGTCTTCACACATCTTGCAAAGTATGCCCGCTTAAGGAAACTTAGGAGCGCAGTTGTGTTTCGTGGTGGTGTTTGGATTGGACTGCAAACGCCTCCCTGCTGCCTCTGCAGCAAGACTCTGACACTGCCTGTTTAGCTGAAAGGGTATTTGGGGAGAAGCTTTGGGGCAGAGAAGGGTTTCCTGGCAGAGAAGGGCCTCAAGGCCAAGCCCAAGGAATACCTTTTCCTCATCACACCTGGTGCCATCGACTGCCGCATCCAGCTTGGAATGACACGTGTTCCCCACGGAGCACCAGAGTGTGTTGCAGACGCTCTGCGGAAAGAAGGGAAATGCGCTCAGTCCTTGGTCGGGGCAGAGAAGCTGAGCCGCTCCCATCTGTGCTGAGAACGCGGCTTTCTTTCTCTCCACGCGCAGCAGCAGAGGCAGCGCAAGAGCACAGGGTGCGCGAGGAGGCCTCCGGGTGCCACCCCTTTCCAGTGGCGGAGGCGGGAGGAGGCATCTCCGGCCAGGAAGAGGATCCAGGCTTCCCTTTCGAAGGATAAGGTTGGCTAGACTCTTGATGGGTTCAGACCTTGTGCAGGAATACTTCGGTCCCCTGCTGCTGCTCGGAATACTGATGGTTTTTAAGTGTGCAATTTAATTCAATAAATGTTTTTAATTCAATTTTGTAAGCTGCCACAAGTGCCCCATTCATCAGGAAACAGAATACAAATCCTGGAAAGGACCAGATGAGAACCAATGCCACGCAATGCACGGCATAATTAAGCCTCGTGATAGCGCTGCCCCCAAAGCCAAAGTGGCTGCAAGGAGGGGCGAGAGGTCCCACTCATCACTTGTCTTCAAGACAGCGGCAGGCGTATGAACACGCGCACGATGTATTCTCTAATCAGGCCCAAGGCCATTGGCTCACACTGCCTCACCCTTCAAACACCAGGGAGACCCCTCATCTCCTACAATGCTTCTGCCTCGGAAGGGCCTCCTTCTCAGGGTGACTTTCCCCCAAGGGCACGAACCCCTCCCCAGCCTGCCCCTCCTTACATCCATGTCATCGCAGTAGGTAGAGTAGGCGCCATACTGGAGTCGGCACTGGTGGCTGACATCGTAGAGGACTCCCGGTGGAACAGACGGGAAGTCGATCACATCCTTGGCCGGGGGATCATCCAGACAAAGCCCCCAGCCCCGGCTGCAAAGAGACACATCCGAGTGAGCGGCTGGTGCATCGTGTGTGTGTGTGTGTGTGTGTGTGTGTGTCTGACAACAATCTGGAATGGGATCCAGAGCACATCATCTGGGATGACTCTCGCCCCACTGCCTCCTCGACTGAGGGCACAAGGAGGGGGAAGGGAAAGGGAGACCTTTAGCCTCTGGAAAGCCCCCTCCCCTCCTGCCGCAAGATCCAGACAGGCGCTTGCAAGCCCTTCCGCCGCAGCCTCCATCGGCACCCTCAGCCCACGTGAGCCAACAAGGCTTAGGGGGGACCTACAGCGCTTACTCCAAGACCTGGTCATCCACCTGGTTGGAGCTGTCCTGGCCCTCCCCTCCTCCTCCTGGAGGAATGGCTCCTGCCTAGAAGGTGGCGTCCAACAGACAAGTTGGTCAGGGTGTAGAGGGGAAGGCGCTTAATGGCCACTCAAACGTTCAAAACACTCAAGGCTCAAGCAGGTTTTGAAGGCTGCGGCAGAAGGCATCCAGGTTAAAAAAATATTAAATGTCTTTATATAAAAATCAGAGTTGTGCAGTTGCAAAGGAGGCGCAAGTGGGAGATTCCAGGAGGCTCTTTGCATGCTGGGGGGAGACTCCCAGGCACTTCCCCTTGGTTCCAGGCCATCTGGGTTGATGGATGTCTCCGAGCAGAAGCCGGAGAGAAAGCAATCAATTGCTTTCAAGAAACCACCATCAATCTGCAGCAGGTGCACGGATCTCCTGGAGAGCCAGAGCCAATCTTGCAACTGCAACCAGATCGTTCGCCATGCACCGAAGGCGAGATCCACCCTCCCAAATTGATGCGGACTGTGCCCCCCACCTTTACAGGTTTGTTTAAGAACTCAACCGAGTTGTTTAACCAGGAAGCTTTGCCTGAATTCCTAAGTAGAAGACTGGCTGGAACTGGAGCTCCTGCTTTATTTTAAAAGATTGTATACTGTATTCAAAAAAGCTCTCCCGGGCAGCTTGCGACTATTCTAAAAGCAGCAAAGCTACAGATAAATATTCAGAGGGGGATCAGAAGGCTCTCTGTTCCCGCTCGCTCCTCAAAGGGCAAATGGACTTGCTGCGGAGGGGGAAGGGGGTGCCGACTTACTCCAGGAAGCGAGTGATATATTCCCTGCTGCAGCGAGACCAGGTGAGCGGCGACGTGTCGTACAGGAGCTGTGGAGACATGATGAAAGGTCTTTTCCCAACTGGCTCACAGTCATTGCCGCTTCCGTCGTGCTGAATCCCAAAACTGCAAAAGCACAGCCCCCCAAAGAAGGTGAGACACACAAGCAAAGGAGCCTCAAAGCGACACTCGGGATTCTCTGGGGAGCCAAGGACAGACTGGGAGGCAGGCTAGGGGGATGCCTGGCCTCTAGGCACATGGCAAGGGCAGCAAGAGAACGGCCTCTCCCATCAAGCATTCTGCTGAGCAGACCCTCTTGAATGGACTGAACAAGCTGGGCTCGGGGGGCTTCAATCTATGGCTACATCTCTGCAGGAGTTGGCCGTTAGTGATCCCACCTGCCCAAGGCTCACATCGGTTAGGCACACATCACTTCGCATGGGGTTTAAAACAGTAAGCAGCAAGCCTGGGGGCAGGGGATGGGGCGGCAATGTATCGAGAGGGGGTCACTGGGCCGGTGGGGAAGCATCACAACCCAGAAAGGATCACCAGATCTACTGCTTAGGACCAAACAACTTGCAAAGGCCTTGCTGGACACAGCTGGGGAATTCTGGGAAACAAGGTCCACCCATCTTAAATTTGCTGACATTGAGAAACACTGATCTAGACCACCCTTGAAAGTGGGCAAGCACAGGCGGGAGTTGCAGGATCAGGCCAAGGAACAATAGCAAACCAACAGGCCTTGAGAATCACAGCTGTTTTTCCCAGAGGAAAACTCTCTCCGAAGTTGCAGGATTTCCCATCTTTATGACTTTAGCAATTGACCATTTTTACAGGCTTTCAACTAATGACGAACGATATTTTCTACAGGTATTCCTCGCTTACCGACTGTCTCATTCAGTGACCGTTCGAAGTTATGATGGTGCTGTCCTATGAAGGTGCTGTCGCATGATCACCATGTACAGTCAGTACACATTGTCCTGTGCCTGACCTGTTGCTTTTCTTTTTTCCCCTCTTGCAGAGCAGAAAGATTGGAGAGGAAGGGATTACAAGAGAGTAAGCAAGCACACAATAGGGACTATATCTAAAGCAATGCGTTGGCACCAACAGCTGCTAGTGCACTATGCAAACAACCCAGTGTGTTCCCCAATGTGTGCCTGCTTACTCTCTTGTAATCCCTCCTTCTCCAATTTCTCTGCTCTGTGGGGGGTGGGGGGAGAAAAAAACAAGTGATTTCTGTAGGCAGTCTCTCCCACGACTGACTTGTTTCCCATCACAGAGTGGAGAGAGTGGAGAGGAAGGGATTACAAAAGAGTAAGCAGACACACAATGGGGAATACACATTGAAAGCAGTGTGCTGGCACCAGCAGCCACGAGTGTGCTGCACGAACAGCCTGGGAATACAGCGGGCTGTTTGCAAAGCACACTAGCATTCCTTTTTATGTGTATTCCCCATTATGTGCCTGCTTGCTCTCTTATAATCCCTTTCTCTCCAACAAATGTAAATACAAACATTAATTCCCACCTTGCTAATTATCCCAGCACCAGGGTAAGCATTCCAAAGGGTGGGGGAGTGGTTAGGAGACAAACAAAAGTGGAAGATGTGAAACTGATTAGTCTTGTCAGTTTTGACCCAGAAAGCACAGTAAGGGCAAAATTTTCAGTTTAGTGACTGCTTCGCTTAGCGATGGAGTTGCAGGTCCCAGTTGTGGTTGCTAAACAAGGACTACCTGTACTTTTACTTGCTATGCAATGCAAAGTTAAAGAGAGAGCTTTAAAAAAATCAGGGTCAGAAAGCAAATGATTTGGGATTGTCCACTGCAATCCCAAAAGGGATTATTTTGTCGTTTTGCAGTGGTACATTTGTGTCTCCCCTTCCCCTACCCTTACAGATGAAGATGCACTTTCAATACCAATTTCAGCAGCCAACCACAACCAAAAATAAATTTCCTCCAGAATTTCCTTGATGTGACTCATAAAAAAAGAATGGAGTAAAGTTAGAGAAACCTCAGCAACTGGACTTCAGAACCCAATTCTCAGCTTATTAATGGAGAGACTTTTGGGGGGGTTTTCTCTTAAAGGACCCTATGAACAGTGAGGAGGCAAACCATTTCCCTGGGGGCTAAGGCATGTGAATCTCTCCCAGGCTCTGAACACACCAGCACACCCTCCTTGCGGTGATCAACCTCCCCAAATCTCTGCTCAGCCTTGATCTTGGACAGGCCAAGAGGTGCGGCTGCAACATTACCTGTGTCCCAGTTCATGGGCCACGGTGAAGGCCAGGGGAAGACCCGTGTCCTCATTCACGTTGCAGCTCCGGTGTGGCTGGCACATGCCAGAGACGTGGGCCAGGCCCAATGTCTCACATGGGCGGTTCATAGCGGTGCAGAGGTCCTTCCTTTCCAGGTCAGGGACGCACACACAAGAGAACAAAGAGGGTGGTCACGGTACTGAGCAAGACCCAGCCACACTGAAGGAAAATAAATCAGCAACTGGAAAACTCAGGGAAAGGATGAGGGCCCAGCTCAAAGGCAGAAACAAACTACCATGCTCTGGCATTTCAGATCAAGCTACAGAACATCAGTGCAGCAGGGGTCTTAAAGGACTGGGAGACCCCTTTACAACCTGGTGTAGGGGCACAGCCTCAACAACGTTCACCATGCACACTCTCCCTTCAAAGAAGTTCCTCCCTTTTTAGTGAAGTTGACACACATTACAGACAGTACCAAAGCCACAGGGATACCTGGTGAGCAGAATCGCAACGTCGTGGTGCAGTGGGTGAGCATCTCCCTTGGGGTTGATTGCTTTCTGCCATTTGCAAAAACTTCTCAAGGTGTTGTCGGCATGGTGGCCAATTTTCAGATCCTCCTACAGAAAGAAAATTAGAGCCCCCAATTAACAGCCAGGGATATTGTACTACTATGATTATTATTGTTGACAAGCCATTGAAGCCCTTAAAAACAATAAACATGAACCAAAAAAGAGACTGTTGAACTCACATAAAGGTTTTAGGCAATCTCAGAAAGCCTGAACACGCACTTGCAATCCATCTCACGTGTAACCTGCATCTTTATAACCTCTTTTGCCCCTCCCCTGTCTTATTCCAGTTTAAATCCCACATCAGTCCAGTCGCTCTGTACATCTAACGAAGGGCGCTGCAGTTGATGAAAGCTGATGCCTTTGAATAAAATGTGTGAATGGGAAAAGGACTCCTCCTGATTTTTGGCTCCTGTAGACTAACGCAGCTCTCCTCCTATAGCATTTGGGGGGAGGGAGAGAGGTTTCCCCTAATTTTCTCCCAGAACAATCCCATGAGTTCTGGGAATATACCTGAGTACTGCTTCTCACCCTAGTTATAAAGTCGGTTCCCTTCTCTTGGTTTCAAGTTCATCTGGCTGTGCCAGCCACCCTGGAAACTCTGCCTCGTGATGAGGCAGCAGAGGGGCCTCCCGGGGCTCGCTGAAGTTTTACTGCCCTAAGTGACCCCTTGGGTGGTTTACAGAGACACAACGACCTGCCTCCGAAGACACCTTCCGCCCCAGGAAATGTACAAATTCCTCCCCAGGTGCCCGTGCAGCCTTTTAATCAGTGGCACACAAATGTGTGCTGCTGCCTCCCCCAAAAGTTCTTATTATTCTTGCAATGTATGAAAAACCTTTTGAAATTGGCTTTCATGTTTTTAATTATTAGAATGGTATGCAAGACTAAAAATGCTACACAATATACCCTAAAAAAGAAAGCATCAACGCAGCAAAGCCAAGAGAGGTTCATAGGCAAAAAGAATTTTGGCAGCTGCCTGAACAAGCTTTCAAGCAACTGGTAACTGCTTTTGTAGATAGCCTGCTGAAGAAACCTACGAAGCCAGTGAAACTGCTACAGGAAGAAATGACAAGACATACAAACTATGGACCATTGCAGAGGAACATGAAGCAGAGCAGCTGGAGGCAACGGAATGAACCTCCTAAGCTTTCCTCTGTGTCCTGAACCTGCAGTCTCAGTAGAAGCAGGTCTACAGAACCTTCTTCTTTTTACCTCCTCATCTTCCAGAAAGACAAGGCGCACAATAGAGATGTGGACCGGGTTCCCAATACTGGCATCATGGAATAAACCAGCCACCTGCACAATGGAAGAAGTAGAACCACTCAGTGAGTCCTGCCCGTGAGAATGGAAGCCCCCTCTCCTTGTTCCACAAATGCATCACACAGCCAAATGTTTCATACAACCAAATTAGCCCAAACCTCTCACTTAGCTCAGAATGCAGCCCTTGTCTCAGCTGAGAGACATCTTTTATCTGCTCTGCAAAGGAACCACAACCAACCACCCTTCACAACACTCACCATGTTCATGACTGTCAAGACATACTTCTCAACATGCTCACTGCCATGGTACTCCACCATCTTGGTGTCAGCCACAACCAGGGTCTCCACCCATTTCTCCTTACTGACAGAGCGTGGTTTGATCCGCCGTTTCTTCTGCTGCTTTTCCTCCCACTTTTCCCTCCACTTCTCTGAGTTCTTAGGATTTTCTTGAGATTAGAGAAGAAGGGAGACGGTTAGATCTCATTATGGCTGGCTTCTCACAGTTTAGGCCAGCAAAGGTCTGTATCTCTTCCAGAAGGAACTGAGCTCTCCAGCCATTCTGCTTTAGAACTGGGAACCAGGCTCTACCCACCCTTTCCTGCCCCTCATGACCCCCCGCCCAAATCCAGGAGTCACAGTGCCACCATCCACCATGAAGATGTCTGAAAATCTTCTGATATCCCTGAGAAGATAGCATTTGGAGCATGTTCCTTGTTATATACATCAGGACACTTAGCCTATGCATCACATGGGTTCATGCCCACGAAAATCCAAACTTTGGGCTCTGTGGGAACCCCGATACACACAAATTGGATCACTAGTGCTCTTAACTGTCTCAGGCAGCCAAGCATGCAGAGAGGAAGCTTCCGATTAAAAAAAAGTAGCTAACTTTCCTATACCAGCAACTCTATATTTGTAAGGAATAATGTTCTCCATGGTGGAAGTACATCTGTTTCAATCCAGGCTGAGTTCTGCTCATTGGATACAGCCAGGCAAGGTGAGCACTGTTAAAGCCAGGTGAACAGAAGCCATTGTGGAAACTAAATCATTTATGCTCTCCAGATGTGTTGGACTTTGACTTTCCTAAAGTCTAGTAAGCTGGCTCTGGAGGGCAGGAGGCTAGCAAAAAAATTGGTCCTGTCTCTTACAGTCCTTTGAGCCAGATCCATGTTCAGTAATAAACTTTAGAATACCCACTTCAAAAATGCTGAGAACATTTTTCCTGAACTGTGTCCAAATATCAGCAAATTTATTGCTAGCAGCAGAATTTTTCCAAACATGCAATGGACTAAAAAAAAAATTGGTATCCTGTTATACCTTACATGAAAAAAAAGGTAAAACAACAAAACATATTACAACTCAATAGAAGAATTGCATGGGCAGGCATACACATTTAAATAAAATACAAGAGACAAACATTAAGCGGATTAAAGCATGTAAATCAACAGATCAAATGCCAGTCGGGAGGATTCACCTACGCAAAGAGTAGCAACTTGCATAATTGGGTCCACTGAGGTGGTTCCTTTTGCAGTTTTCAAATAACCTTAGCTAAGTTCCTATTCTGTCAATTACCTGTCTGGGCCCAGTTCTGACTTCTGACTGGTTCCAGTCCTGCCCCCGCCTCATAACCCCTTACCAGCCCAACTGCCAGGCCCAGTCGTGGCCAGCCAGCCAGCTGCCCCTGAGCTAAGACCCAAGAGAAGAGAGAGGACGAGCCAGTGGCCTCCGTCGCTGGAAGAAACGCACAGCCGTCGGTGTCCTCCTCCGCTTCCGGAGCCAGGCCGGCCGGTGGCGTCTCAGCTTAGAACTACGGGCTGAGCTGCAGGTTCTCCATCCATCAAAAAACTCTTCTGGCCAGTCCCTCTCCTGCCTCTCTTCCAAATGTTCCCAGACACAGTCCCCAGCTCCCCTCCAAGGAAAAATGGGTCCCCAGATCGACCCACGTTGCCCCACTTGAGGCTGCCCTTGGACAGGGTCAGAAGAAGGGGGAAATGTGGCTTCCATGCTACTGCCCACCCACTCAGCTGCTGAAGGTCCTGCCTGCCTGCCTGTCTGCCTGCCTGCCTTCCACAATCTCATTACAGTAATTTTGGGAATCCCTAAAGGACATATTTGTTTTGCCGCTACTACTAAACCCTTTTCTGGTGTAGAAATCCCTTGTTTTCCTCCTGTCCGTTGTTGCTGACAAAAGGTGAGCAGGAGGAACATGGAGAAGGCACAGGATGATGTGACTTCGTTCACATTTAAAGGAAGAGAATGATTTAACTTTTATAAAATAACTGAAAGTAGACTGTCTAAAGACTTTGCAGCCTAGCTTCCCTGGCACTCAGATCCTCCTGCATTCCCACAACCCAGTCTGACAGATGGAAGTTCCTCAGGCTCGGGCCCAAACCTCCTTCCACCCACCCTCCCAGGGACCCCTCCCTGCAGAATATAAACTCAGAGGAGGTGCCCACGTTGACTTGCCTTGATTGGCAGTTCCACCACCCAATCGTCACAAACACCGGAGAACTAAGGACGACTGAAGACACACACACACACGCTGGGGAAGAGGTGAAGGCGACGTGGTCAGGCCTTCCTTGGGGACAGCGGGCGGCTGACTCCCCCACCGCTCTGCTCCACTGAAGGAGGGGGAAATCCTTCTGCCCAAGTGCGTTTTTCCCAGGAGGCCTAATCCCATTTCTTCTAGGTCATCCCTGACTCAGTTTCAGCAGCCCTGAGCACAATAAACAGAACTGCACACTCAACCATTTCCCTCGCCCAGTGATCAGCTGGACATTTTGGATAAATGAAGGCATTGTCTTATTACAGGCTGCCGTTCTGCAGCTGGAGGACTAACATGCTCCAGCTGGTCCCCCACCATGTTCCGTTTTCTACCAATCAGACTGAAGGAATACGTTTTGTTTCTTTAGAGAAAAGGAAATGAACAGCCAAGGAGATATAACACTGATTGGGTAAATGCAATTAGCGTGGACTTCTGCAATGTAAATAGAGCCAGGGCAGGGAGCGGGCTGAATAACAGCTGGGCTCAGAAGTTCCGTCCTGTGAGAAAAGACACGGGTGCGCAGTCAATAGGTTTCTCAAAATACTGATTGGAGGAAACCATTTTATGAAAGGAAACGCTTACTACTTTGAATTTATGGGCTAATCGCTGCAGCAGAAAATATTTTCCACAACAATCATCAGAAGGAGTCCGGTAGCACCGTTTTCAGCTAGCACATTTTATTAAAAGGCATAAGCTTTGGTGAGTTGCATCTTTTAATAAAACTGGTTAGTCAGAAAAGGTGCTCCCAGACTCCTCCTGATTTTTGGGCTACCACAGACTCACGCAACTCTCCTCTTACTGTAACACTTCCCATAATACACACTGGAAATAGTATTTACTTAATCCAGCTGTTTCTTCAGATTTTTCTACAACTGTAATTGAAATCTTTTTGCGTTGGGAACTCAGTCTCCCTACTAAACCCTGAAGATGGCATCATTTGGAGGGGCCCACCACAAACTGCCCCCCATGGAGATTTGGCATGCCCCACCTCTCCAGCTGCTGGCCACTGCCCTCCATTGCCATTTTGGTTTGGGCTGCAGAACAGAGACTGGGCAACCATTTCCTGCATAAGGCCTTTGTAAAGCAGCGTTGAGGCGTTACAGGTAGTCCTCAACTTAGGACCACAATTGGGACCGGAACGTCTGTCACTAAGCAATGCAGTTGTTAAGTGAGCCATGCCCAATTTTGCAACCTTTTTTGCTGCAGTCATTAAGTGAATCACCACAGTCATTGAGCAAAACACATGGCCATTAAGCGAATCCAGCTTCCCTCACTGATTTTGCTTGTTGGAAGACCCCTGGGAAGGTCACAAATGGCAATCATGTGACCCCAGGAGGCTGTAACCATCGTAAACACATGCTGGTTGCCAAGCATCCAAATTTTGATCACATGACCGTGGGGATGCTGCAACAGTCATAAGTTCGAGGACCAGTCATCACTTTTTCCAGCACCATCGTAACTTTGGATGGTCATTAAACAAATGGTCATAAGTCGAGAACTCCCTGAACGTCAGTTCTTTACATGCACAGGTCTTCTGGAAGACCATTAGACCTGCTCTTAATTAACATTTAGTAGTCTTTTGAAAGAGCAGTGAAATACGATTAGAGCTATCTGCACAGATGGTCCATTTGCCCAGGGAAAAGGTTATGTCTGCCGTGGGACTCCTGGCTGCGGCTGAGCGCAGATGCTCACCTCAGCACTGCTGTCCCTACATCCGCAGCACAGACCGGCTACAGATCCTGGCGGGCCGGGGGAGGGCTGGCAAGCTTCCCTTCTAGCCTGCGCAACAGGAAGACTCCCTGAGGCCGAGGACAGACCCAGGATGAGGAGGAAGGGGGTCTCTCAGTGCACTGGGGCCCTCCCTCTCACTTTACCCCACACTCCTCCTCCACCCCACAGACCGTCAGCCACGCTGTCTCCTTCTACAGGACCCACAAGAACTACAAGAGCACAAGGCTTGTGCTCCAAAATAGCTGGAGACTGGGGACCAGCACAGAGCACTTCTGCGCCAGTAACCTGTCGCCTGGGGACTGGCAAAGCAGCTAAGCCTCTGTCCCAGGCACCCACCCACAGCGGCCCGAGCCACCCCACTACCCACGCCGGTGGGTTTCACTGATGGCTGGGGGTGCTGGAGGGGAGGGGAATTTCACCAACGGCAGTCCAGGCTGCTGGCAAGCCTTGTTCCTGGGGCAGAGGAAAGTTCAGCCAGCAGGGCCAACCCTGGGCTCGAGGAATGTGCCTTAGCACAGCCACGAGGAACAGCCCAGAGACAGTCCTAAAGAGAACCGATCCTCCCCCAAGAGAGGATACGAAATCGTGATCTCAAGTGACAAGGAACCGGTTAGGAGCTTCCCAACGTGACTCCCAAACCAGGAAACGTTACCTTGCACTCCACACATCCTGACAGAAGCTGGCTGCTTCCTGTCTCCTTTCGTGCTCAGGACTGGAATAAACTCTTCAGTTTCATGCTCCTGAACGTGGCGTCGAGATATCCTGTGTGGTTGGGCTGCACTCTCCCTCAGATTGCTGGGAGCCAGTGGTTCAATCAAGTAATCTTGGCCAGCCAGATGAAAGACGCCTTTCTGGAGAGGAAAGCCACCGGTCCCTAAATGCTCTCAGTCTGCAGAAATTGGCACGCCGCTTCAGCGCATGTTTTTTCAGCCCACTTGGTTGCAATGAGCAAGAAGATGGAATAAGCACCTTCTCCCAGGGACTCCCCCAGGGGCAGCTAAGCTAAGACATGGGGAGATCTCTGCCCCTGAGATCTGCTGAGCAAATCCATTCAGCTCTCTCAAACCTGGGCTTGCCGAATGAGAAACAACTGGCTTTCAAAGCTGGCAAAGCACCCTGCCAGATGTGCACATGGTTTCTCTGTGCTGAGAGTTTCTCTTCGCTCTGAATCTCAGCCTGCTGTTAAAGCCCCATTGAAAGTTGGCAATTCCCCTTCAGCCCCAGAAGCCTTCACTTGGGTTGGACAAGGAGACCCATGTTGGAATAGGATGTCCAAAAATCAGGAGGAGTCTGGCAGCATCTTTTCAGACTAACCACCCCAATAACGTGTCTTAGTCTGAACAGGTTCTCCTAGACTCCTTCCGATGGCTGAAAAGGCAAGGGAGCTTTGGATCAGAACCCGCTGAGGAGGCAGGACGTTTCTCCTCCCAGGTTTCTCTGGTCTGGAAAGGCTCAGGACAGCAGCCCAGATTACGGTGACGCAGTACTCTAGACCAGGGTTTCTCAAACCAGGTTCCACAGGACCTTGTTCGGGTTGCCTGAGAGACGAAGGGCAAAAACCAAAACCAAAACTCTTCATTCCAATGCAGCCAGTTTTTATCACTAGAGCTTTGCCTCTTGACCGGGGATTCTGGCTTTGGTTTTTGTTTTTGAATGAACGGGTTCTGCAGCCTGAAAAGGCCTGAAAATTGCTGTCCTTGATCCAAAGGCAAAAAGGTGCTTTGAACCCTACAGTAACTGGGTCTGGGGTAGCATCTCTGATCCCGAGAAAAGGCAGACTAGGCCCCGAAGCGCCCTTTTGCCTTCCAGTCCAGAGCGTTACACAACCTCCTCCACACACACCTCACTCCCTTTTGCCAAATCTGGAGCGGATGAGGGTGGGGGGAGAAACGAGCCATGTTGGAGCAGAGGAGAACATCTGTGGGAATGGATTAAACGTATCTTTCCTATGGAATTATCTTCAGCAATATATTCTTAAACACAATCTCCCACAAGAAATATCTGCTTATAAAAAACAAAACGATGAGATGCAGTTGTGCTGACTTCACAGAACAATGATCGCTGTACCAGATGTTGAACAAAGAAGGAATTCAGCCTGAAGGCCAGCCAACAGACTTAATCTGAGCGCCAGGGAGGATGCCAGAGCCAAGGCTCCCCCCCCCCCCGTTCGAAAGACTCCCAGCCCCAAGACACTCACCAGCCCATCGCACGTGCTGAGGGCTGCTAGCCCACTTTCTCTCGCCTGGTTCTGGACGGACCCTATCATATGGCACGAGTTCCGGTTGGACGCTTGAATCTTGGCCCGAGAGATGCCTCCATACCGTTTCTCACTAACAAAGCCGGGAGCCAGGAGGTGAGGGTTGAGGCTCAGGTTGAATCGTAGCTGCTGCCCTCTGTGGAAGAGGGCATAAAATGCCCCTGGACGAGTCCGTGAGGAAACAGCCCTTTTGGACAGTAGCCGGTGGGACAGGTTGTAGGAAAGGAAGGAGCCTCTCTCATCCACCCTGACAGGATACACCACATCACAGCCAGGATCCGGCACCTGAACGGATTCTGCACCTGGAGGAAGCCCTTCAGAATGAGCAACTGGGCGGACACAGCCCCCAAGGGATCCTGCCACCCATACATTCTTCTGTCTTTGACAGGTGCTCCCCTTGTTAGGGTGACAAAGCGGAAGTCTCCAGTTCCTGACAAATGCACAAACCCACCCCGATAAAATAAAAAAATCACGAATCTTATCCGGTGCCTCTGGGTTTGGAGGGTCAGAGGGTGCCTCTGCTCTGCCTTCCTCCCACCTGGGTCAAGAAGGTCCCTCCGCCACGTGCCCACGTGTAGGTAGGGCCTCCCTTCTGCAGGTACAAGTGACACCACCTTGTGTG